TGAGCGCGCCAGGGGGCTCTTAGCGACCGGCGTCGAGAAATAACCACCGGGCGTTGAAAATTGCTGGCGAGGAGTCGGTGAGAGAGGTGAGAAGCCCCGATAGCTCATCGGTGAGGGAAGAGAGGGCGTTGAAATTTGCGGTGAAGAGGCATGCGGCGTTACGGGGACCGATTTGCTGGTTTGGCTCCTGGAACGGCGCAAGCGGCCTTTGCATGGGCTGTTGTCGTCCTCATCGTCATTCAAATCGAGAAAACGTAGGCCCAGCCCCGAATCCGATCTGCCGTCCGACATTTCTGGTCATTGAAGTGAATAAGGTATTTGGACAATGTTTAATAGGGCGGCGGCCGGCCAACCGAAAAACCGGGTCTTTAGCCTCCTAGACAAATAGTCCCCGTGTGTATGTATTCCTCTCAGAGGTATGGGGAACGGACAAGACGCGCGACAAGGCAAAGAACTGCCGGTTTGGGCTCGATTGCAATGCGACGAGTCGACTCTGCACGCACCGGATGAAAGCAGCACGGCGCGGCAAGCTAGTGGGAGGTAGTATTCCCGAAGACGATCCGAAAGGGCGGCTTCTGGTGCAAATGCCAAAGATTGGGGGGATTTTGGGCGTCAGCTGCAGGAGAATCGGGCGCTGTTTGGTCAAAGAGGCCGACCAATTGGCGATGCGTCGAGTCTTGTCTTTGGCGCGTTCGACGCGTGAGGTGGCTTTGGGAGGCGTGGGAGGCTGGTGAAGGCTGGGCGAGGACTCGGGGGGCTTGAAGAATTGTGGCGCCTTGCATGTGACCACAGGGGTCAAGCTGGGACTGCGACAATGGGTGAACGCTGGAGACGGATTTACCTAGGGCCATTTTGCGAGAAGGGGAAGGACGAGACCGGGATGTGATTGGGGAGGTGACGGCTGGAGCTGCTAGCAGTCGCTGCAGTGGAGGTGCACCTTACCTTACATTGCTTGGGATGCCTATCCGTACCTAGGTGCCATAGCCCATAGGTGCTTCTCAACCTTCTCACATTACGTCAGCATTTACCTCAAGACTCAGTGTGGGGGAAGCAAGCAAACCTACCTAGGCACGGGCACAGCTCTCTCGGCTACGAGGAAGGGCAGTCGCTGAACCAAAGCCCCTCCGCCGCGGTTGACCGTCGTCGCGTGCTGTGAAGTTGGAGAAGGAAATTGGTAGTGACGGAAGTACACACCGACTGCCACGATCCGTTCCTTTCCGCCGTCCGTCACTCCATCACATGCCCGACATATAATCGTGACTCTTCATGGCCCGGCATTCACTCTCATGTTGGTACCTAGTAGTTATGCGTGCTGGTTATTCGATTTTGCTTTTTCTCTTTTGTTTGATCAGCGTGGTTTGACGGTTCGGTCCTTTTTCCGTTTTTCTGGAGCTGTTTATCTTGAGCGTCTTCTTGGATGACAGAGCAAAACTGCTCATTATCTGCGCCATACCCAATGTTTATTCTGGAGATGCTACATGGCATCCATCCAGCCTGTATCTCTACTTAGGTATTGTAAGAGAGCTGTAGATATGTGTGACCACGCTGTAGAGTGAGACGAGGTCGGCAACGCACAGGGACTCTTGCCATGATACCGCCGAATTAACACCCCAAATCACCATCCTCTAAGCTGGCAAATGTTTACCTCTTCGAATAAAGGAACCTGAACATACACACTCGCACCTCGGGCTAAATTATTGCGAACCATTGTCACGGCCAGAACCGGCAGGAAACTCGCTTGAAGCGCACCTCTACGGTCGGCTATGTAAGCCGGGTCGAGGTACTTATCGTGCTATCATCGAACCATGGGCCTAGGCAGTATGACGCCGAGTCGGGGCAAGTACCTGCGTACCATTGCCGTCCGCCCAGAGCATCAGGAACTCTCCACTGAGGAGCCCTGGCCCGGCCTTGTTCCTGTCGTCCCCGGCAATCCCAAGCTCTCACCTTCTTGAGGTCCCAGTTCCTATTCCGTCTCCATTACCAGAAATAAACCTACACGAAACACCTCCCGCACGCTGCACGCGACCTCTCCTCACTCCCATTGACTATGCGGCAGTAGATCTGGCTTTAATCTTCAACCTCGTCTCCCAATCCCTCGACCTCTCTTCCTCCGCATTTCGCCCGCTCGTGTCTGTTCCATGTTGCCCTGCGTCATACAGCCTCGGTAAAGGCCGCCCCAACTCGGTCACGCGGGGTTCGATTCGAATACCTCATTTCAACAGTAGATCGCCAATTCCGAGCCGCCCAACATGTCGTGGAGGAAGACGGATAGGTTGATGGATACCATCAGGCATTACGCCAGTTTCCCTGCAACTGGCGTGAGCTTGAGGCAGATGGTCCAATTTGGAGAGAAGCCCTCAGTCGGTTCGTCAACCCTTGGCAAATCCCCTCCGTTTCCTAACGGCTTGTATTTAACTCTCTTCTGCTCCGTTGCTTGCTTCGCTTGTATGCACCAGCAATGCGCCAACTCTCACTACTTGAATAGCTTCTCGTTCAAGGTGTAATATTGCTGACTGTCCATTTTACTTGCAGGAACCCTCTTCCGTGCCTCACAATTCCTTGCCGAGGAGCTACCAATCCGCCTTGCCCATCGCGTACAAGAGCTCGACGAACTTCCAGATGGCCTCAACGACATGCCCTCTGTGAAGCGAGTGCAGGACTGGTACGCACAGTCATTCGAGGTACGTCAAGGCTCTTCTATCGCATAATGCATGAAGGACATGACTCACTGACACTTTTCCGTCCGCGCAGGAACTCACACAACTTCCTCGACCTGACTTGGATAAATCAACAAAAGAAAGGCTTTTGAGGCCTGCCAAATCGTACGGGAAAGGACCAATGCTCTCCGAGGCAACCCGAAACCCAAGCATCGAGGAAGGCCAATATGCGTCTTTGCCGCAGTCCAATGGAAACGGCTGGAGCAAGCAGAAGAACGTCGCCGCACGGAGATATTTTGCAATGGTGGACGACATCGGCGATTGGCCGCCTGAGCTGCGCTTGTACAACGAGCGGTTCGCCAAAGCCCTACATGGCATCAAGAGGCGCCACGACGGAGTTGTCACCACCATGGCACAGGGCATCCTGGAGTACAAGCGCAAAAGACAGCGCATGCAGATTGATAACAACATTCAGTCATTCCTCGATCGGTTTTATATGTCGCGCATAGGAATCCGCATGCTCATCGGTCAGCACATTGCCTTGACCGATCAAAGCCACCACCGCGATCCCACCTATGTCGGCATCATCTGTACCAAAACCAACGTTCAGGATCTCGCGCAAGAGGCCATTGAAAATGCGCGCTTTGTCTGCGAGGACCACTACGGACTTTTCGAAGCACCGAAGATCCAACTCGTCTGCAATCCTAACCTGAACTTCATGTACGTTCCAGGGCATTTGTCGCATATGCTCTTTGAAACTCTGAAAAACTCTCTTCGTGCCGTCGTTGAAACGCACGGCCAGGATAAACAGGAATTCCCTGTGACCAAGGTCATTGTTGCAGAGGGTAAGGAGGATATCACCATCAAGATCTCGGACGAGGGAGGTGGTATTCCCCGAAGCTCTATACCTCTCGTTTGGACATATATGTATACCACTGTGGATCGCACACCGAATTTGGACCCCGACTTTGACAAGAACGACTTTAAGGCGCCTATGGCTGGCTTTGGGTACGGATTGCCTATTTCACGACTTTACGCACGATACTTTGGTGGAGACTTGAAACTTATCAGTATGGAAGGGTGAGTTGCGCACTACGCCATGAACCATTTCACGCGGCCCCAAGCTAACCCCTGATGTAGATATGGTACGGATGTTTATTTGCATCTCAATCGTCTGTCCAGCTCATCGGAACCTCTCCAATAGGGACCAGCAGTCATGAGGGACAGGAACGCTCGAGGATTGACGCTAGGGTTAAGGTATACACTGCACAAGAGGCTCAAGGATCGCGAGATCACGGAGCGTCGGCAGGTTGGAGACGCTCAGGAGATGATGAATCGGGGCGACACCGATCCTGGGTATTTCAAGCAAGACAACGACTTGTGATTAGCCTGTCTTGGAGCAGGCCATTAATCGCTCCTCAATGATTGGCGACCGAGACCAAGTTGTAGAGCCGAGCTCCTCCGTTACTTGGTCCATAGCGGCAAGGCGAAGGACGTCCGGGCCTCTACGACCAGGTCAACGACACCTTGAGGGCGGGAGTACTATAAACCAGCATCGTGTTGGAATCTGGAATAGGATTATCTCCGCGCCCGTTGCGGCACGCGGAGATACACATCGTTTTTTGTTTTCTTCTTTTGGGTATGGTTTGGGGGCATTTTCAAAAAGAATCACCCCGGCTGGATAGGAGCACGGGATCACACACACATTGGACAGGCCGCATCGGCAATGAGACTGGATGGCGGTGGGCGTCTCGGGTTTCTTTTTGCTACATGTTTCTCTCGTTACACAGTTGAAATACACATGATTGCATAGGGAACTTTTTGATTTGCAAAGCGAACTGACTATTGAGGATACTGCAGTCACCTGGCTATCGAGGTACCTAAAAGAGCAAAACTTTTCCGTGCCTTCCTTCCCATGACCATATCCGTTCCAATACCCTCCGTCGGATTCCATATGGAAACATGCCCGGAACTGCCACCCCCCTCCGCATTCCCAAATTCCTCGGGCTTTGTCCCCGTGAAGCTTCCAGAAACTATAGCTGCGCTTTAGCTGGTAGCAAACATCCAACCTCCTCCCAATCCTCTAGGCATGTGAGGATGTGAGGCCAGTCGGTGGTTTGTTGCCGGATGACTTGCTCGTGAACATTGGGGCGGAATGGCTCTGCGCTGAGCTGCTATCGGAAACCAGGCCAAGAAACTCAAAGAAAGAAAAGAAAGAAAGGAAAGCCACGACAGACGAGGGCGTTGGGTCTCTGCTGATGGAAATGTTTCCATGACTCTCGGAAATCAACCTGCCAAATAAAGTGATTCGGTGCCCGAATGACGCGTGGAACAACGAGGTTCCTACTCGTCGTCGCTATCGTCATCGCCGTTGCCGTAAGGAATGGGGTTGAAGAGCGTCGGGGGCTGATGCCTGCCTCTCTGGAGCGCGCGGTGCTCCTCCTTGGTGAGCTGCTTTCTATCGCGCTGACGATTCTTGAGAGTATGTTAGTCAGGTACTGGAAAACGGGAAAGTGATCCATGAACTTACACCGGGCCAGGGACCGCTAGGGGCAACGCTGAAAGTAGCGAAAGCAGTGGTGTTGGGTCCGTTCTCGGGGCGACCTCCCTCAAGGGTGTGGACGCGACTCTTCGAAGCAGTCTTCGTGGAGGTCATGATAGAAGAGTCATTGGACTGCGTAGTGGGGGCCTTGGTCTTGATGTGCTTTTTGCCAGCCGAGTCATAAGCGTTGAAGTTAACATCCAGGAAGGTGTTGTGAAACTCGTAGTCACGACCTGTCTCGGTGGTACCTGCGATAGCCGAGGTAGCAGCAGAGGCAATGCTCTCGCTGCCTAGGCCGGAGGCGATGGCATTGTAGCTAGCACGGCCGTCATTACGAGCCCCAAGGCCGATCGGGCCGGTAACATAGTGCTGACGAGTCTCGATGCCCAGAGATTCAATGCGAGTCAAGAGGTCATTCTCGACAGTGAGGCCGTTGGTTCCAGTAATAGGAGCGAGGGGCTGTCAGAGCACATCAGTCTTGTTCAAGTTGGCATTTCGTGCGCTTACTTACCCGGTCAACCTCACTACGGAAGTCAAAGATCTCAGAGGGATCAGTCGGGAGGTGACTCGCGTAGTCATCCGTGTTCTCCAGGGGGTCCAGTTGAGTGTTAGGACCGGCCCAGGGAGTATAGCCGGGCTCCTGGGTGTTGATCCAGTGCTGGCAAGACTTGCAGATCTGTACAGAAGATGTGAGCGGAAGTGGCAACGGTATGTCTCTCGGGTGCTTACGTTGACGCCATTGGTTCTGTTATTCTTGGAGAACTGGTCCAAGGTCTTGATCTCGTCACAGGGACCTTCACATCGGAGCTCATTGACGGGCTCGCCCGAGTGGACGCGGCAGACCATACCAGTGTTGGCACGGTTGACTCTGGCGTGTCGATCAAGCTTGTCTTGAACAAGCTTCTGCTGCTTCTTGGAGAAGCCAGACATTGGCTTCCACTCACCGCCAATCTTGCAGCAATACCTATAAGAAAGTGTCAGCGTGATCAGAAATCAGCGTGGTCAGAAACTAGTCTCATCGCCACCATCCTCGAGTATGGCAACTTACTTCTCGGCCATGTTTTGGCCAAGCTTCTCACCAAGGTCCTGGGAACTAAGAAATATTTATTAGTGCCGTTGACCACGGTGAGAAAATAATGTTGTATTTTACTTACCCGCTAGGACGAGAGGAGTAGTAGGAAGACATGGCTGTGGTGTGTGTTGGGACTTGTATTCGATGAGAAGATCACGAAATGTTTTTGGCGTAAAGAGTAGGAAGTAGAATAAAGGCTCTCTTGACTTGAAGGTACAAGCAAGAAGTAGTGATGTGAATGTTGGTGTTCAAGAATCCGAAGGATTCTGGGGAAGAATTGATGAAAGATGTGTGTTGAGGCAAGGATTTTTGTGATATCGGTGGGAATTTTCTCGGGAGTTGAGTGTGTGAGTGAGTGAGGCGGGACAAATGGAGGGTCGAAAAGAAAGAAAACTCGGATCAACGGCCTGCCCTCTAGGCAACCAAGGGCGTCTCGAGAAGGCGCGTTTGTTATTCCCCGTCGTTCCTACTCTTCCCAAGGCAGAAACAAAGGGATGGAGGGAGGAAAGAACGATGGCCCGGTAGGGCACATTAGCAGTCACTCAGCTCGAGACTGAAGCATCGAGTGATTCATTCGGTTGATCACTCCAAGCGCATCATTTCGCAGCTGCACACTAGGATAAGGACTGGCAGTTCCATGACCTCATCTTTGGTGTTTTGCAATTACTTGGTCCCAGTGACTTTCTTCCCACCCTGTGTGCACTTGCTAGACCGTCAATATCATACGTCAAAGATAAGTAGACATATGAAGTTCGATTTGTTACCTTGGCCCGTACATCCGGCAGCGAGAAATCTGATGCGTTCTCACCTCAGATAATATATCTACTTTCGACTGCGACTTCTCGATAAGTAGCTGCCTACCTTACTTAGCATGTCGACGAGCTCAACGTGGCTGTTAGACTCAAGAGAACCCACAAGCAGAACACTCCAACTACTTGGCCATTTGCTTAGATGGTATTAACGAGTCCCTGAGCCATGGAGATTCACCTCCCAAAGAGTTCAAGTCAGCAGGTTTCCCTTAAGGGAAAAAGTTGCTAGGTATCGGAAAGAAAATTTGAAGAGCCGGTCTAGTGGCTCTCTCAAAGCGCACTTTTGCTATTGCCACTATTTTCTTCTGTCGACGTTAACCACGTCGTTTTCAGTTTACTGCTCAGCGGTGTTATTGCCTCCAGAACCATAGATTACTACATAACCATAGCCCAATGAGCTTATGAAGTAAGGTAGTTACTTCAAGGCTGAATAGCACACATCCGATGTCAGCCTGAAGCCGGTGCGTAGTACCTACTTTCGATATAATGGAACTTCTTTTGGTAGTCAAGCACATACGACCACACCCATCAGAAAATTCGGGATCCCGTCCGCTCTCCCATAGACAAGCTGATGAGGGCCAGATTAGTAGTTGAGTCGGTGACGATCAGCGAATACCTGGTGTTGTATGTTTCTTTTTGTTTTTCAAATGATCGGCCACGACCATTGTAGTTTCGTGGTCTCCCATGTCGTCAGCCACCACCCGGAGCCACGTCCGAAAAAGAAGAAAAAAACCTACCGGCGCTGTGGAACCCCGGCAGTCAGACGCATAAAGCTTGTACACTTCCGGCTCTCACAAAAACGGGCTTATGCACTCACCTCACATGGGTCTTCTTCACATGGAGGACGTTCCGTTCGGCACGATACTCTGTTGTCCGGTGGATGGCAGTGGATGCCATCGCCTCCATTCGGAAATGTAGACCGCTGCATCCGCCGTCTTACTCAACGTGGGGTTCCATTCGGTCGATCTCTTCCATTGTCCACGGGGTCCTGAAGGAAAAAAGAGAAGGAAAAATTAAACAGCTTCCAGAAGCGGAATCGAATCCCCACGCCTGGCAGGGCGCTATACTTTGCAGGGCATGAAGCTACTGCAACAGCGGCCTCTAATTCTCACTTCAGGGCCTGTCTCAACGAAATTTCGAAGCGAGACGAGCGCGGGGACTTTTTTTCTTTTTTTACCGTTCACGAGATGGACGAGAGAGGGGAGGGGGTGTTGTAATACGATACCTATGTTCTGCTCATCTCGCGTGAAGCTTTCCAAGGGTCCAATAGGTGGCCCTACACTGAAACGAAACAGCCTTTCTGAACCACGGTGGAGGGATCGTCGAGGATTCCAATACATCTGCGTCGTTGCCACGGGCACCTTTCATATCGCGGCATCCGGACTAGGAAAAAGAGCTTCTGCCCGGCCACGCGGCGGCTCCGGATCGGCGGTTTCCCAACTTCGTGGGACGAGATGAACCGGATGCTTCCCAACCACCCGCGGCGGCCCTCCCCTCTCAATCCCACCCTGGATCCCACCAGCATCCTTCCACTGTCTGGGTGTGTGTGTATTTCTTCAAGGGTAATGGTTGGTCCAGTTGCAACAGCAGTAATTAACAAAATCGTGCAAAAGAGGATGGGAAAATTTCCGTTGCCCAGAGATGAGGGTGATGAGAGATGGAGCAATCTGTAACTAACCACAGGACCCCCAGAGGATACCTATGCAACAACGGAGATGCACAGCGTCAGAACTCTAGGTCCGCACAGGTGCATCGGCAGCACGACATCGTGATCTCCGCGCCCACTCCGAGTCAGCACAAGGATGAGTGAAGCGCGTGGCTTTCTGGGAAATAGATGTCCATACGGAGCATATCCACCGATCACGAGATCACGTTCTGATCAGTCACAAGTTGTTGCAAGACCCCCCCCCCCCCCGAAATTGGCACAACGCCATTGCCTCTACGAGTCTCGTGTTTAAGCCAAGAACTAGCGAAACGAGAGTGCCCGGCCTACAACACTCCATTCGCTGAATGAAGAGTTAGAGACGGGATCGCTAAACCATCCTCCGTAATATGAGGTCCAGCAGCAGCAAAGTAGGCGGGAGGCACCCTGGCACAAGGTGTCAGACAACAAGGCGGGACAGAGTAGCCCGAGAGGAGTATTCGCTTCGCAACGCAACCACGGATGAACTTGAGACGGCATGGGGCCCGGGCAAGGAACCCGCGGCCCAGAGCTTCTGGAAGAAGTCTGTTGCGCGTCGCATGGTATGCGTATCCGTCCGGATAATGCCGTGCAGCAGGTCCGGAGGGTCTGTCTGCCTTGCCCTCTCCACCAGACAATTCGCACGTCCCTCCCATCCCTCCCCTCATGGACGGGACAGAGGGGATTCAGAATAAAGGGGGGGTGGTTAGTGGAAACACGGGCGACAGATTGTATCACGACGAAAATCCCACGAGGGGTCCCTGAAAATGGGCCAATGCTCTGTTCTTTTCGAGGAAGCGGGAAACCAATCCTAATCATCCTCAACCCCTTGTCTGGCAATATTCGAGGGCACATTAACGGCCCCCAAGTAAAATCATCGAAAACGACCTCGGAACAAGAAACACTCTATGCGGAGCCAAAGCCCCGCGCTTGTGCGTGTGCTTTGTGCAACTGCAGAACAGAGGGAGGGAGGGGGCATCATCCATCGTCCATCATCTCTGGTTCCATGCCTCCAAGTTGGCCATGATAATGCGGCCATGCGGTGCTTCTCAAGCCCAGCTGGGCATGGTTGTCGGTTTCCAATACCTTCTACTAAGAGACGCTGTGCCCCAAATCCATATTGGCCCGAATCTTTAGGGGCGTTATAAAGTGCCTTGGACAGGAAAGCGGAAACCCGGCCAAACCTTGGCCAAATTCATGCCCGTCAGCAAAAACGTCGGTGACATTGCAGCCGCACGGCTTGCATTTTGCATAGCATGGACCCAACCAATCTACCAGAGCATAGGTATCGACTATTGACATTGCCCATTTGGCGGGGTATGTTGGCCAAAATGCCAAAACGCAGCCGTCCCAAGAGACCGGCGGACGGCACGGGCTTTGCATTCCTTGGGATCCTGTCCCCCCCCCCTCCTCTTCCTCCTCCTCCTCCTCCTCCTCCAAGGGTCCGACCCTGAAGAGAAGCATAAAGCTGTGCAGCACTGAACGCTACCATGGCCGGCGGTTGAAGGTGACCATGTCCATGCTCTTTTTGCCAGGCCGAAGCGAACATGCGAGTCCACCGCGAGATGATCACCTTCCTTCGTCTTCCTGCCTGCCTGATGGGTTCAGTGGTGTGAACTTGTAAAGTATCTGTCAGGCTGAAAGACACCCGAAAGGAAAGGCAAAAGGGTGTATCTAGCAGGCGAGAAAGGGGTCGTGGAGCCCATACGATGGGGCGCCATGGTGGAGAGGTTGTCTTACCTTAGTCAAGGTGTTGAAGATGTTGCCTCGGCGGCGGCGGCGGCGGCGACGATGGCGCCAACGGAGGGGGGAGGGCCAGTGAACCCGTTCACTAGGTCAATCAATAACTTACTCATACAGGCGCTCATCTTTCTGGCAACTTCGCCCATTGAGATTTACTTCATCTCACAATGCAGCCAGTGGACGGGCGGGTTTCTCGCTCAGCAGAGTTTTGGGCTTGGAAGGGATTATTGCGTCTGGGCTGGCACGGACACTCATTACTGGGAAACTTGGGCAAAAGGACGATGGACCCCACTAGCTGTCATTCCAAATGGACGCCGGTCGTCGAACCGCGGATGTGCCGGTTGGTCGTCCGGGTCCCATGTCTTTGCAAAGTTCGAACCAGGTCCCTGGTCATGTAGCTTTTTCTTTCCTTTTCTTCATCGTCTTTTTTCTTCACGAAGAAAGTTCACTGTGAGAGTATCTTTCCCCATCTTTTTTCCCACTAGGTATTCAAGGGCCCTTGGGGGGGAAAAGATACAGGCACTGGGATGAGGGTTGGGATATGAGTCGCGACAGGCTCCGTGCGGAAAGGCTACCTACAGGCTGTAGTACCTGGAGGCTGGGAACCAGTCAGTCCGGCTTGTAACCTGACCACTACCTGTGGGAACGGGAAGAAGGGAAGGGGGGAAACGCTCCGATCCATCAGTGAAGACGGTGGATCGTTTCACGGAATTTCTTGACCGTCTGGCGCGGATGGCGAGAATTGACCGGTCGATGGAACCCTCGGGCTCGGGCCTACGCAGACCTTACTACGTAGTGTAAATGACACAAAATGAAGCGACATTGACTGTGATGGTGTACAATTGTGAAGCGCATGCGCTTAACCGGGGTTGACCACCCTGGTCCATATTTATGCAGAGGCTCCGGCTACCTTCTTAGATTCCTCATGCTACTACCGGGTACAATCCAACGACGACTGAAGCACACTGAGCGATTATTTGAATTGATGATTAGTTCTTGTGAATCATCTATGTGCAAGACGTTCGAAAAGAACACTATGTACGGGCGACCATACATACCTCTCTCTCTAACCAGCCGAGTACCAAATCAAGTACCCAACTCCAAGCCTGAGTGGTAATCCTCAGAGATGAATGCAATGTAGTTCCGAAATGCCAATCCCTCCCCAACGCCTCTCCTGAATTTCTGGTTTTCTGTATGCCCCATTTCCGGCCTTCCTCTGAATAGTTGCGTGAGCATCTTTAGAACGTCTAGTTTCCCCCCTCATGAGCCGCGTTGTGGATGCTGCAAGCCGTTTCGTCAGTCAACATTTCCCATATTGCAAGGCCAATGTACATACCCAATGTCCGCAGGGTTTCCCGGGGACTGCGGGTCAGCTCGTGTCCGGGCTGCCAAGCCATTGGTCTTGGCCACTTTAGCAGCAGGAGTTTCCGCAGAATCCGCCGATCCGGTAAGCACGGGACCGCTGCTGGCAACAAGCGCCTTACGCTTCCTGCCGCTGTTGCGGGCATCGTCGAGCTGCTCCAGGTAGGCCTCGGAAACGGGGGTCACGTAGCAACCGCTAAAGACACCAATCTCAAAAGTCTGCGTCTTGGGGTCACGGGGAGACAGCTCGGCGCATGAGGCCACGAGATCCTCAACCGTCTGGTAGATGATGTCGTCGGCGCCGATTTGCTCGGCAATCTCAGCGTTGGTGCGTCCATGAGCAATGAGATCCTTTTGTGATGCCAAGTCAATGCCGTGGACGTGGGGGTGGATGACCTCGGGCGAGCACGAGCTGAAGATGACCTTGCGAGCTCCAGCCTCACGCGCCATGGTAACGATCTCTCGGCTAGTCGTTCCGCGAACCACTGAGTCGTCAACAAGAAGCACAGTCTTGCCCTTGAACTCGGAATCAATGGTACTGAGCTTGCGGCGAACGCTCTTTTGCCGCATCTGTTGTCCAGGCATGATGAAGGTTCTGAAGACGTAACGGTTCTTGACGAAACCCATGGAGTAGGGTTTCCTGAGGCGCTCCGCCAAGGCCGCAGCAGCCGTATTGGAAGTCTCGGGGATAGGGATGACAACATCGATATCCTTAACGGCCTCCTCGCCCAGTCGAGCGATGATGTTGTCAGCCAACTTGATACCCTGGCGGTTGCGTGACTCGTGGACACTAATTCCATCAATAACACTGTCAGGCCTTGCAAAGTACACTTGATAATGTCAGCAGGTTCTAGCATTATTTCCAAGATTGTATGTAGCCTCTTACCGTATTCAAAGATGTCAGGGCTGTATGAAGCCGGCTCCTGAATCTGGTGGAAAACAGGAGGGCAGCCCTTCTTGAAAAGCACAGCCTGCCCAGGCAAGACATCAGTGATGTTCTTGAAGCCCAGCTGGCGCAGAGCAATCGACTCTGACGCAACCATGTAGTCGTAAGCATCGTCATCAGGATTAGGAGTCGACTTGCGAGAACCCCAAACCAGAGGACGGATACCATCAGGGTCTCTAAACGCAACCACACCATAGCCGGCAACCATGATGACGCTAGCCCAGGCACCCTGAATGCGCTTGTAGGTGCGCTCAAGCGCGCTGAACAGATCCGTCTCGTTGATACGCGCCTTTCCAGTCTCATTAAGCTCGTTGGCAAAGACAGACAGCATCAGCTCACTGTCACTGCTGGTGTTGATGTGCCTATGAGCGTCCTTGTCCAGGAATGCACGCAGCTCAGCGGCATTGGTGAGGTTGCCGTTGTGCGACAGGCAGATTCCATAAGGACTGTTGACGTAGAACGGTTGAGCTGTGATCTGCGTTAGCCTCTCAAAGGCCGTGAGGTTTCGCCAGCACAGCTTTGTTCTGACCTTCAGCACGTCCACTGCTTCCCCAGGTAGGGTAGCGAAGGTGACCAATGCCCATCCATCCAGGCAAGTCAATGACCCTCTTGCCGTCCTTGAAGACGGTCGCCGCCATGCCAGAATCCTTGTTCATGAAGATTCGTCCTCCATAAGAACTGCTGGTGTCAGCCAATGCCTGCAATTGACAACCCATGCTCCCTCACCTAGTCGCAATACCGCAGGCGTCTTGACCGCGGTGCTGAAGAAGGTACATGGCTTCATGGATGTCCTGCGCAGCGTCGCAGTTGTCTTCATCCCGATCATAATGACCCATGCAAATTCCGAGAATTCCACACATCTTGCCTTGCTCTTTGCGGTATCTTTCAGGAGATCAGTGGTTCTCGAGGTCGATCCAATGCTTCCTTGTTCAAAGAAGCTTGGCAAATGTTTGCGCAGAAGCAACCGACGTAGTTGTGGGTGTTGGTGTTCGAGATAGCTTCGGTCGTGGGTGGTGGCGGGGTATCCGATGGCGGGGTATTTTTTTAGCTGAGCTGGGTCCACGCCGTGTTTTCTTCGTGTTTCGGACGAGGAAAAAGAGAGTCGGGGAAACGAGGCAACACGAGATTTTCGGGACGAAATAGGCCGGCCTCTTCGAGAGAAAGTGGATTGGCACTCGTACTTTCGACGAGGGAACGGTGAGGCTCCAAGAGGGAAGAAAAATATTTTTGGACAACCGTCGTCGGCGAAAAGCAATTGGGGTAGGAGCAGAAAAAAAATTCCTCCAACAGTCACAAACCTTCAGAAAGAATGAATAAGTGGGGCCGATTATCGGTGCTCCCAACCGCGCGGTGGGAGCGGCAGGTGCGGCAGCTGGTAGGTACCTACGCCCCGGATAAGGCTCCGTGTCAGCGTTCCCCGTGCTCCCTTTAGGGCGCTCATCGGGTTCTTGTCGAACCCTTCTCTCCGCAGTAGTGGACCTTTTTGTTGGCTCCCGTGAACCGTTACTCCGGTCAGCTTGCATCTTGAGGGATTTCCCCCTCCCACCGGTTCAACCGATGCATTCCGAAGGCCCGATGTGGTTGCAGGCTGAAAAGGGTAGGTCCAGTGACGGTAGCCACGTGGTGCATGTGCTACTAGGCCTGAAGAGATAAGCTGGAGGATATGGAACCCGTGAGGGTGCACCCCAATTCTGGCCGCATGCGGTGTGAGTTGGTGGCACTGAACCATGAGGTGGTAAGGTACCTTGGAGATTGAAGGAGTTGACGAGAAGAAACTGCGAGCAGTCATCACGTTTGAAGTCATCAATGCCTGGTACGAGCCTCGACGAGGAGCATTCATTAAGACAATCAACTTTCTCTAGTAATACACCTTACTAAGTATATGTGGATTCAAATACCCAACAGGCAATAAATTGCCTTATTAACACCATATTTTCTTGCGTAGGATTTAAAAATAATTTTCGTCTAATTTTCCTCGATAACAAGTTAGTTGGAGTTGGCCGGTGAGAGAGCATTTGAGTATGCCCAGGAACCAACGGGTATGCAAGCAGTCGCTCATGATGTCTATTTTCTGTCAATGAGGTTGAGACTGCATGAGCCGCCCTACCATCGTCCTATTCCTTATCTTTCGTCAGAAACAGAGACACAGGCCAGCTCTGTTGTTTCGTTTGCTGGTTTTTCTTTTGGGCGGACCGCTGCTTTACATCCTCGGACCACTCTCCGTCAACTGGACATGACGGAAATAGGCGCTTACATTTTCCCACCGGCAAAGCTCTCCCACTCGTAAAAGGGGGGACTCTCGAGTCGGCAACAGTGAAAATTCGTGACATGTGTAGACATGTGGATTTCCTTACTCCATAATCTCCCTGCAGGAGGTCGGTATGACTCTCCAAGCAGCGGTGAGGCATCTAGAAACGTTGAAACAGGCTTAGGTCAGATGATGCACCGCCATTTTGATGTGGTTGACATCGCAATAAATCTTTCTTCCAGAGTTGTCTAGCTAGAACGTGGTATGGGCTTCTCGGATGTAGGTTTAAAGCCCTCGAAAACTGTCAGATGCCAAACCTATCAGCAAACCATGGTATGTAAGACTGCGTGAGGTGAATTGTGATAGAGACCTGCAGTCTGAGCGACCTTTATCGGGAATACTCATTTAAACAGAAATTGGTTATTAGCATATTCATGATTGGGATTCTTATGCATACGCACAGCATTTTATGTAACAAGTGGGCCATCTCCCGACCAGACCCCTGGTTGAACGCCTGGTCTAACGGGCAGTGGGCACAGATCTGGTCGTTCTGAAATTGCCCCGGCTGCGTGGTGCCCAACGTTCCTCCGTAGCTCGTCGATCAGCGTCTTTTCTCATCAAAGTCCCCTTCCAAGGATGACGGTCCCCTCTGATCCCTCTCTGGCTGCTAATCTAACGGAAAGGCCCGTGGAATTGGGAGGAGGGGGAGGGGGAGGGGAAAAGTGATGAAATAGGATACTCGGTGGGCGGGGGTTTGACAAACATCATTTCCTTGGGTAGGAGGCCAAAGACACGTCTCGAGACGACGACGTCGAGTCGAAGTGAGGTGACAACGGTGGGTGTCGCATTGCGACGTGCTCGGTCGCTGTCCAACTTGTTTGCTTCACAAATGTCGCTGGCGTCGTGGTATCCTCCGTGCTATGAGTCCGTTGCTTTGGCCGCATGTTCCTGAGACTTGGCACGTCGTCAATCACAGTGACAGTTGCAAAAGACGCAGCGACGATGGTGTACACACCCGCGTGCGCACCGCAATGCGCCTGCGGCAACGCGGCAAACCATCCTAAGCAGCCAAACGTCCTGATAGCCTTTTGACTCTGTAAAGGCAGGAAACTCACATACGGTTGACGGTAACGGAGGCAATCAGGGGTGGGGGGCCTTGGCTACTGTTAGAGACGGCGCATACGCCGACATGTTCCAGACGTTTTCCATACTATGGGCCCAAGCAATAATATCGATCATTTTTTTTTTCTCTCGGCAGGTTGCGGCGGATTGCAGTGTGTCATTCGGTTTGGGCATCTCCACTGATTGTCTCGTTGCGACAAGCTGATGGTTTAGAACGAACGGGAGGAGAGCCTCTTTGCCCCATGAACTCCGTTCGTTGGCATGGTCACCGGTGAGCTTTCCCAAAGCATCACAAGTTCCCTAGTTTCCAGAGTTCCAGAGTCCCAGTACGGATACGTAGGCGAGGAAAGATTGAAGAGAGGGGGCAAAGAGAAGCTCCATTGTCAGTTCCGGCTCCCCGTGTTCGGGTCGAGCTTGATCGAGAGCTTCGAGGCACGCGGGACAGGGCGCCCTGTTCTGGTTGGCGACCCCTTGTTGCCTCGGCCGGTTGGCGATGCGCGCCATCATAAGCCCGTGGTCGACGTTTGACCCAAGTATCTGGTAATTGGGTATTGCGGCAGAGGAGAAATCAGCCGAGCGAGTCATCCTACATCGACAGACTTTGTAAGTTGGTGGCTTCATCGGCGAATTGCTGAACGTTGAACGGCGAGTTATCAGCAGCACTGCAACGTCACCTCCTGGCGCCGCACATCATGCTGTGGTAAAATTGTAAGTGCAAAAATGTACACGTCAGGGGAGGTATCTTTTTCTTCTTCTTCTTGCCCGATAATCAACAACAGATTTGCAAAGTGTTTTTGGTATTCGTACTGCGTCAAAAAGACCCCCGAATGTCACGGAGGGAGGTCCTGAAGTTCATCACCGCGGAAGCAGGTACAGTGCTCATGTAGCTCCCTGCCTTTTCTGGGCTAGAGCCGGCAGGAAGGCAGGAAGTGCCCTCCACCTGCATTCTTTCCCTTTGCGCCCAACCCGACATGTCATCATCCGACATCCAGTAGAGCTCTCTGAGGTAGGCAGGTACGGGTGCTCCCCTCCTGATTTCCTTTCCCGCAATCTTCCCGCCGTGTTTCATCATTTCTCCTGGGTCACCAAAGTCGACACCAGGCTGCTGGGAATCTGGGCTCGCCCATCCGCACATCAATGTCGAGCGCCAGCCTGCCAGGCGGGCTGCCTCCACGTTTTTTGCGCCCCTGCGCCTGGTTTTTCTTGTTCCTGACTTATGGACGTGCCCACACTGACGCGCTTCTGGCTACAGGATCAGGTTCGCACCGACAATCCCAACCCCGCCGACGTCGCCTCTACTGTCTATCGGAGGAGAAGTCCAAGAAAAGGAGGAGGTAATCAATTGCTGGCTACGCAGTATGGTTTCGGCTGATGTCACTGCGTCTCTGAAGATCGGATATGAGTGTATGTCTCTGGAGTAGCTTGATCGCAGGATGACATAATAGGCAGTTTGACGAGACCCAGAACCCCCCTTCGGCGGCATCACTGATACTCCGTCCTCATTTTCACCTCGAGCGAATCAAGAAACAGTACCAGGCAAGCAGGAAGGCTCTTCAGGGCCGTTCCGCAGGCCCCGAGCTAAGGTAGCACTGGGGGCAGGTAAACGAGCCGGCGACGAACAAGGGCACATGGCGGAAACCAATAAAGTATGTTGTAACGAACACACCGTATGGATACTCGGTACTCCGCACAGCTGGCTTGAGTTGAGGCTTGAGGACGTTTGGATTTTACTCTGCTTCTGTACTAGCAGCGTGTGGGTTAAGTTATATGAGTGTGTAGGTCAATGCAGAGGTTTATTAACCCAGCGTCTAGGGATTAACGGCGAGACATGAAACGATGAGAAATACCTGCACAATTCCCAGCATGCAGGGTGGGTGTTCGGCTGTTCGCATGTCCCAATCCCACCCGAGGTGGTGATGGGATTTGCAGATTTGAGAATGGAACTCGTACGCATTGCCACACCTACCCGTATTCTACGAGCTACCGCGCTTCATCGACAGTTTATTTCACCATTACCGCGATAGGCCCGTCGCTACCTCAGGCTCACCTTTGAGTCGCTTGGCCGGATCATCAGCTCTCCCCACCATTCGGATGCTTCCATTCGCCTTCTGTGCCCCTGGCATTGTCAACTAGTAGCATCCAATGATGCCGACGGCGTTGATGCGGCAGTAATCCACCAATGCAACGCGGGCCAGGTACCGAATACCTTCCACACAGCCAAATGGGAAAGATGTGCTCCGGTACCTGAACATCGCGACGCTGGGATGCTTGACAGCGTAGTTGGACACACGGGCCTGGCATAAACGGCCCTAGTAGGCGTTTGCCTGCTGTTTCGGGGGCTTGTGCGAGCAACCAAGGTCGCGCCAGATCCATCGGAGGCGCTATGTATGCACAAAGCTAAGGAACTGGCCGTCATTCTATTTTGTGTTCTCAAAAAAAGCGAAATGGTGGTACGGATACCGCCCGCGGTGCAAATCCAGGCGTGAGGCC